TGGGAGGTCTCCTGCGCTGGAGATCTTCACCCCCCGCCTGGCCGCTGTCCTGTGCCCCCTGCTCTGGGTGAGCCTGCCTGGGCAGGGGGGTGGCACTGGGTGAGCTCCCGAGGGCCCTGCCAGCCCCAGCCATTCTGGGATTCTGTGAAGAGGCCTTGGCCCATGACCGAGAGGTGCCCAGGGCTCGGGAGCTGGCCCTTGCGCAGCCCTTGTCCCTGCCCTGCCCCTCGGGCCGTGGTACGAGGGGGTCGGCCATGAGCTGCTCCCTGGGACAGCAGCACTGGTTAATGGGCAGGGGGTGCTGATTTCTGGTGTGGTAGTTAACCTGGTTAACCAGGGGCTGGGACTCACATACATCCCCGCAGGGCTCTGGAGGGTAACACCCGATGGCAGGCTGGGGCTGGTGCCTCGGTCGGAGCCATGCTCTCGGTGCGGCTCACGCTGGGATGCCTGGTGCTCCTTCAGGGCTCTGGAGGTCACTGCCACCACCAACAGGATGGGAGGCGAAGCTCTGAAACCCGCTTGGAGGGGCTGGGTTTTTTTGGGAGGGGTGGACACCTTCAGCTGGTCAGGCAGCCCCTGCAGAAGCCACCTCCCCGTGAGACCCGGCCCTGGCTCCCCCACCACTCCCCCCGTTAACTTTCTCATCTGCTCCAACAGGACCGTAGCGACAACGAAGTGGAGAAAATCAAGAGCACTCTGATCCTCTGCTACGGATACGTGGCTATGTACGCTCCCAAGGAGCTGGTGCTGTCCAGGATCGAAGCAGACATCCTGAAGAATATCTTCCAGTACTTCAACACCAAGGTAAGGCGTTGGGATGCCCCGGCCTCCCTGGGGAGGGGGGAGCAGACCTGGGCGAGCTGGAGCAGCCAGGCTGTTGTGGATGCTCTGCCCCACGGGTCCTGCTGGGACCCACGGGCAGCCCCTGGGAGAAGCTGCCGAGTCGGCTCGCTCGTGCATCGCTAATGTGTTTTGTTTTTTTCACTTGTTCAGGTTCTGGGAATAAAGGTAGAAACCAAGGTACAGTGTGAGGCATTAAATCTGAACTCCTCTGCTCTTTCCTGCTGTCTCTGTCTGCCTCTCGCTCGGGGTTCCCCTCGGAGCAGCCCCGTGCTGTGCTCAGGGCAGCGTCCCTCTGCCCGTGGCGACCGGGAGAGCCGCGGGAGCTGCTGCTCCTCGCCCTGAGCTCCCCAGCCCGGTCCTCCGTGCTGGAACCGTTGCCTGAAAGTACCAAAACTTGCAGCAGAGGGGAAGAGAAAGATGCCTTTCTGGCAGGGAAGGAGCCGTAGGCGAAAGCGTGGCTCAGGTGGGCGCCCCCGTGGTGAAATGCTGGCCTGCCCAGCGGCTGCGCTGGCCTCCCGTGGGTGCCTGCGGCCGAGCTCGCTGCCCGCGGGGCGACCCGGGGCCG